ACCTACTTCATCATTAACATATCTTATTTTCTTTCAAATATACCAAAAACCGCATCTGACTATGTTCAACCGGGCACAAAATTATATTTAACAATCAATTGCTAATTGCACCTACCGGTAATTAGCTTTATTTACATATTTTATTTTATTAATAATAATATATTTTCCTGCTCTAACTAGAAAGGTTAGCAGTTAATATATTTTTGAATGGGCTAAGGGGTCCATTTCTGATTTTCAGAAATTGATATACTGAATCAACTCTTTACTTTCAACCATAGACATTTACTAGTATGTCAAGAGTTTTTGGTAACGATGGGATATATATACATATATTCTTCACAAGTACAGTCAAACTTCCATAACTCGAAGTACCATTTTGGAAGAGAAGGGTCGACTTATGTAGACTTTAAGTTAAAAAACTTTTTTGTAATTGTATGTAATTTCCTCTGTAAACACTCTTGCACTCTATTTAGTTTGAATTATAGAAAATTCGAGTTCTAGAAGTTTGAGTTATGTAAATTTGACTGTATTTTACAATAAATCAATTTAACAATACACGCCAATTGCTGATATTGACGAACGGTTCAAGAGCATAAATTCAGCTTTTTTTTTAACCCTTATTTCTTTTTCTCTCAAACTTATTAAAATAGAATATTAGTTATTGTTGAAAAAAGTTATGAAATGTTAGTAAATACTTAAAAATATGTATTAAGTGAAAGTACACAATATTTATTTTTTATAGATCTATTAAAATACGCTAAAACCCATATATGATTGAGACATCACTAAATCTCAGTCATTTACTAACCCATATTCAAATTATTGGAAATAATTGATTTGTTGCTCTATTTCAAATTTATTAATAGATACATAAAGGCAAATTGATAAAACTGTTGACGTTTAAACAAATTCACAGAAACGAAATAATTGAATTTTTGTACAATCACATACATACATAGGAGGAGAGGTATGAAATGAAAGCCTCAACTCTACTATACGTTCTATTTGGTAGAAATTAAACAAATTTGAAATAAATACAAGTATTATCGAATATAATTGTAATTTATCAGTGCGTACAATTACATAGTAAAATTATAATAAGAACTATATACGCCCAATGAAAAGTTTTATAAAATGTAGGGTATAATATTTGTAATTTATTTTACTTCTTATTGCAGTCAAATGTATATCAGAAATTGATAAAATAAAGCTTTACGGCATGTAAATATATATTTAGATTATTTAGCAATACTCTGAAGACATATTCAGTGAAGCATAGAAGTAGTCCCTTTTAAAGTTCTTATGTGCACTGAAGAATAGAAACAGCTGATTACAAATGAACTCTGAACAAATGACTTTAGAGTGGTTAAAGTAATCTTAAATACTGAGATATTATTTGAAGTGTTTTTTCATGAAAAATAAAAAAAAAAACAATGGCAGTAGCAAAAAATGCTTATATTAATTACAAAAGATTGTTGCAAAATGTCTCAAATGTTTTAATTTGGAACATATCTTTTATTGTATAATAGTTAATTTTTATCAAAGCTAGCAAAATAAGAGAACATTGCATAATACTGTAGATACCATAGGCAAGAAATATGGCTCCCTTAGGCTCTATTGAATGGGACGATTGCATTGCAAATGAAAAAAAAACAATTTTTAGAGTACACCAGCTAACTTAACCGACTTTTGTTAAAGTTGCTCCAATTTTTTTTTTTTTGCAGTAGGTGGAAGCATCGAAAGCCACCGTGTGAGACATGAACCTAAAGTTGCTCCTATTTTGTGTCGGGATACTATTACGCTATTTAAATAAAAGAGACAGAAACGAAGAAGCGGGAATCTTCAAGCCGTTTGGGGACTATCGAGCAGTAATAGAATAGATAAGTGATTTTTTTTCTCTTTCTCCTAACACCTATAGTTGTATCTATAGTTGTTTGAACTTGACAGCAATTTCAGTGTTTTATTAAATTAGTTTAGTAAATGATATTGAGAATTCGGAACAGTCTTATCTATGTTAATTAACAGTCTACAGTTAATTATCTATGTTGAAGCCAAAAAAAAAGTAAACTGTGGATATTTATCAACAGGTCTTTTCATATACTGCAATTTTAAATCACAGTACGGATTGCAATCAAACCACATGAGAATTCTAAAATACAAGCTATATGATTAATATACGCTCGTGATCTATATAAGCGTTAGATCATGAGTATATCAAAAAAAATTAATAAAATTAAATTCTAATAAACTACTAAGTAAAATATAAATAACTTTAGAATTTCTACTTTTATCGTTTCCGTCACAAAATTTTTTTTGAAAAATATAGTTCCAAAAATGAGGATAACTGCTCACTTACAAAATCCTTCTAAGGACTTGATGGGTACATTCCATTATTTTCCTAAAATCCTGTACTCAACAACCACTTGTGAAATTTTTTCAACGCATTTTCTTTTGTTTATTGTGAAATATTCAAATGTGTTTCATTTTCTATATATAAGCGTTAATCAATTTTAAAGAGTATTTAAAATGTGAGAATATAATAAACAAATATTTAACTTAGAAAATTTTGAAGAAAGAAAAACAAAAAGCTCTGCTAAGTGCGGAAAGAGGGGCCGTGTGAACACTGGACATGTTGACGCCTTTTCAATGCGCAAACTGAAATAATGAATAATTGAAAATTGCCACGTAGTAATATTTAGTTCATAATTATAATTTCAAATATATTTAAGACCTAATATAAATCAATAATTTGACTTTTAATTGTAACAATAATAACAATAAATACTTTGTGTATGTATGTGCAACAAGATATTTATCTAGCATAAACTTCCCATGCGGCTAGATTGTTTTGTGAGTCATGTTTTATTTTTTTTTAGTACACAAAGCAAAAGTAAACATATTATTTATACAATAATAATATTATAAAAAAATGATATTTTCCACATATAACGGAATACGTCTAGACAGTTGATAATTTAGCCATTTTATCCAATAAGAATTTAAGCTCATGACATTGTATACGTGCTTAACACGAATTTATATTTTAATTATATTGTATATGGTTAACACTTACGATGTTCTTCCATTTTTAGAATACTATTTTAAAAACTGTTCAGATAATCAACACGTTAAAACACACTTAATAATTTAATTAAATTTACTTCCACTAAATAAGCAGCAATTGCAGCGACTTTTTGTTGCTATTCACGATATTTTATTGAAATGCCGTTTCGACATTCATTCTTCCTCTATTACAAATCACACTTTTTACGAACACAGCACATTCTTGTTCGAAAATTCGAAATTAAATTTAATTAGGTAGAACTAAATGATTTAAATTAATATAAATTATGAATTGTTTCTTTTTGTTAACAATGTATTAATAAATGTTTATTAATTTATTTAACAATCGAATAGACAATTAAAACCTTTGCTAGAGCCAAAATAAGCCAAAACCAAATATAATAAGATTATAAGCATAAGTTTATGTTATTTAATAAATTTCATGAAGAATTGTTTTATCTAGTATTTTAAAAATAATTATAATCGTAGTAAAACTCACGTAAAACACAAAAAAAGTACAAACTGAGAGCGTAACACAAATAAAGGGCCAAAGTATGCTCTTTACATAGATTTTCGTGGAACAGCTTTGTGTAAAGTCTGATGAGAACACCAGTGCCGCGCAAATAAACAATATTAAAAATTTTAATTCAAGCCAAAACAGCTGATTCACACATCAACACAAATTTTACTTGAAATTAAATGTACGAGTAAAGTCTGTGTAGCATTTTCAAATTTCGACAGGGATGTTATGCTCTCTGTGATGCTCTCATCTACTCGAAACTTTTCTAATGAAACGCACTTGTGTATACGCAGTGTTACTTATGATATGACTAAAATATTTCAAAAAGTATAGAGTAATTTAAAAAACTCGTTTTCCATTCTTATTACCATTGAAATAAATAATAATATTACACAAACAAAAGATAAATAAAAAGAACATTATTGTAAATAAAATTTTTATAATATAACAATACAAAATGTTAACTGAAATTTAATTTAACGCACTGAATAATAAATAAACAATAAAATAATATAACAGCAAAAAAAATCAAACAACAATTTCTTAAAAATATATAAAAAATAAAAAATACTTTTCGCAGTTGAATTTTTTTTATTATTTTATTTATTATTTAATTTCAATCATTTAAAATTTTAGTTTTGTTTGTAATAATAATTCATGTTTTATACAATATTTATTTAATCATTGCTCTTGGTTTGATGTAGACATCTTCAAAGTATGGCTATAGACTATAGTTGAAATGTTGACATAAAAAAAAATAACTGTTAATATAAATTTAGTTTTATTTGATCAATTAGTCTATACTTAATAGAAACACTATAAAATTATATATCAAATCTTGTTTTGACAGAACACATACTACAATTGGAACGATATAGAGAAGATGATCATGATCCCTGCGCAAGAATGACATGCAAAATCGTGAAGCTTGGCAGGCGACATTTAAGCCATGTCTTTAGCTCAAAAATTAACAATATTTTAATTAAATAAATTGACTAAAAATTTTTTGTCTTTGTCTTTTCTTTGCTATTTGAATCCGTCTAACTTTTAAAATAGTATTTTTTTCATCATATAGACGCGTCACTCTCGGAAAGAAAAATTTAACATTAAAGATATTATATTGTT